CAGTGACAGAAAATGATAGGCAAAATGTTATGTTTAGCTGTCACTGAAAATCCACACATTGCCATTCGTCGTATCGCCGCAAACGCCAACATATCAGTACATAAAAACGTACCTACAATCAACCAAAACACAAAACATCCCCAAATTTCCATTTTATACTGTGGCACTGTTCTCGCATCAGTTTATGATACCTACTTTTGTTGTTATTTTAAACCATGTCCATTCCAGTCATTGGGCTTTTTTTCCGCTCCTGTCAAAGTAAAGTAGGCCAAACCCTATATCGACGTATTTCCCTTCAAAAGGACTATCCATTTATGCTTAAAAAATTAGGTGGTGCTATTTAAAAAAAATGTTGATGACGTCATAGGTTAATGAAACATAGCGCAAAAAAGGTTTAAGCAACGTGACAAAACGACAATTCTAATTTACTAATTGACGTGTTTTAGCGTTTTTGTGAAAACTCCACACAAAATGAAATATGAATTTTTTGCGTTACTTTTGGGACGCACTGTATACATTTATTTACTTTTTTCTGATGCATTTCGCAAAAATTCCTACTATTTCAGTTTCAATATTATAAAGCAATCAATTAAATATTCTAGGGAGAAATTTGTTGTGTTGGCAATTTTATTTTTCGCGATTTTTGTAATATTTAGTTTTCTGCATAAAGTATTTTTACTTCACATAAAAAAAAGGTTGCTAGCGGCACTTCGAAAACTGACTTATCAGCGTATGCACGTTGATTGAGCGTAAAGTGATTTTGGTTAAAACCTCACAAAAAAGAAACTGGAAGCTGCAGCCCATTATCAATGCACATTGCACCAACTGAGCGGCATCGGTAAGTCGCTTTGCAATCAGTCTCTTTTATCTCTTCGTTATACAATCAATTTGGTTCATTCACATACAATCCGCTAAAATTCGTAACACAGGGCGTTTACAAACTTGGAGAGGATTTGGTAATGTATTGTGTGAAGTTATTTATTTGTGGCATCGTTTTCGTTTCTTTCTATTTATTTCATCTGTGAAAAAATTTAAAAATTAGTGGTATAAAAATTAAAACTGTGAAAATAACTAAAACAAAATAAGTCAAAAAAGTTCAGAAGATGGAAACAGATAGTTTTACGAAACATCAACAACTTTTTAAAGTGCGTGATACAAAGTGATGTATTTTTTGTAGTATATTTTGTATTTGTCTGCTTTTTTCAGTATGAGATTTTTTAGTTTGGCAAAACTATTTGCACAAGAATAAATCTTGACTGATCCTTATGATGCAAGAGTTTTACTAATTTTTAAATTTTGTCACAGGTGGCAAAATACCCAAAAATAAAGGTAAATAAGATTTTTTTAATGGTTAATAAAATGTATTAATAAGCATTTTCAATATACAAAATCATTGAACTTAAAATTAATAATTATCAAAAAAATTAATAATCATAAAAAGAGGTGAATAGTTATAGTGGTAAATGGCATGACATCCCCTTTTTTACCCAATTTTTTGTAGTGAATAGAAAAATCTCTATTGCAATTTTAGAATCAGTTTTACTTTAGTTGTCTCCATTGCGACAACGTGTGCCTTATTGTAAAAATTATTAGTGAACTAATCATTTATTTTATTAGATTCTTACTTCCAATTGTTTCCGTTTTGTGAGGACAGTACACCTCTGATGTGTGTATTAATAATGTGAATAAATATACCAAAATCGCACATCAGTAGAGTAACAATGAATTCCAGACAAAGTATCGATAACTGCATTTAATAGGAACCAAAGAACAAAATTTATTATACTAAATATTACTGTCGATAAGCTGTTACACGATTTTTTGTTGAATTGTCAATACTCTGGAACTGTAAGGAATGGATACATTTTGTCAGGTAGAAAGCACACAAATTGACCAAAAAGTATTCTTACACATGGCATTACCCATTTTTAAAATTTCATTAGATACAGTACATTGTCTGAAGACTGACAACATGCCACTTTCTTCTTCTTCTAAAATATTGCAGTTATCGCTTTTTTTACAATAAATTTTAACTTTTTTGTTATATTGACATAAATGAAAGAAATTGTAATCGGCTTTCGCCGATAGCCTGGAACTGCAGTGTAGACTGCCACAGCTGCCCAACGAAGACGAGGAGTTCGAGATAGTGGCTGAGCGCGCGGCCCGACGCGTCGACAGAGAGCCAGACAATACTAAACATAACAAACGCGACACTCAGACTAAGACACTTCCCTACCCGCTGGAAAACAGCAAACATAATCCTTATCCCAAAACCCAACAAAGATCACACCATCCCATCCAACTACCGGCCCATTAGCCTGCTCCCGGCTATGAGCAAAGTGGTAGAAAAAATTATCCTAACCCGTCTAAGAACCCACTCCCAAGAACTGCAAGTCATTCCAGACGAGCAGTTCGCCTTCCGACCCAATCACTCCACTGAACTCCAAATCCTTCGCCTTACCGAGCACATCACGGCGGCCTTCAACAGGGGACAGTACACTGGTGCTGTCTTCCTGGACGTCGCAAAGGCCTTCGATACGGTTTGGCATGAAGGCCTACTGATGAAAATGCTCACCAACCAATATCCCATATCCTTTACCAAACTCATAAAATCCTACCTACACCACCGAAAATTCCGCATCCAAATCCAAGATTCCCTTTCCACCACCCGTCCCATGGAGGCCGGTGTCCCCCAGGGCACCGTCCTGTCCCCACAC